TTTGACCTTGCACAAGGGTGACACACACACACATGCGCAGAAGGCGATACTCTCGGACACACCAAGAAGAAGAAGCAATTAAGCAACTCGATTTTTATCAATTCAAAGTCTGCTCATTCTTGACATACAAAGGCCTTTAAATAGGCTTGAAATACAGAAGAAATCAAGGGAAATTCGTGCACAAGGAGGAGCTAACAAAACATTAAAGAAAGGTAATGGAAAACAAGACACCATAAAGTAAGGAAAAAGTGGAAAGTTGATGGAAGTGGATGTGCAACGTCTTGCAACGGCTAGGAGCTTTAAATTAGGTCTTCATGAGGTTAAAAGGGTGTAGAAAGCTTCTCAAATTCGTGCTTGATAAGGGCTGGCCGAAATTTGGTACAAAGGTTGCACCATATCCTCTCTAATGGGTTGACATCTTCTTGGACTTGTGCAGAATATTTTTGGGCACTTTGGGCTTGAATCTTCAGTCCATTTATTGAGAATACAATCCTCAAATATCTTCTTAGTAGCCCACATGTTAGCCCATGAAGTCTTTGGTGTTGGACAACATAAACTCCATAACAATGTGACGTTTTAGCGCTTCTTGTCGTTTTCGCATCCGTTGCATTGTCTTGAACATTTTCGGATGTTTTGATCAGCCACTCTTCGACATATGTATTGATATTTGAACGTAGACTTTGAGTCATTTGTCTTGTAAGTGAAGGTGTAAGAATGGTTGACATGGTATGCTCGGTGTTCACTTCTTCTCCTCCTATAGCGTCGACGACATCGTCTTGCTTCTCGTTCGAGTTTTGTTTGTTATCGTCCATGTTGATGTTGGAGGATTTCTGGGCTGCATCATTCCCTCCCCCTTGAAAAGGTTTTGTCCTCAAAACTCGTTTGCCTACATCAAAAGGATCCAAGTCAGCGTCATTAAACTCAAAAGACACATTGCACTTACCTTGGCACTTAAGAAGGTGGTTGGCTTTGTCATTGTGTTCCATATGTATGCGAAATATATGTTCTCGTGCATCTCCTCTTTCAAAGGGTTCGCCCTTCGTGTTTGCGTTGGGTATTAAGGCTATGGTTGTACATGAATCGTCCACAAATGGATTGTAAGGTCTTCCTAATCCATGAGTTTGAATGATACTTGTAGTTATCCACTCTTGCTTTGCCTTGATCTTCTCTTTGTTAAGATGTAATACCTGCATTCTATTAGCAAAGCCTAGGAAAACAAATATGTTAGTGTAGCATTTGCTTTTCTTGAGGTCCTCATAGAAGTATTCCTTTCGGAAAGTCCTCACTTGTTCTTCAAACTCACATATACACATTAAAGACGCAATTTAAAATTTTATTTCGAAGCAGAAAAGTTATTTAGGACGTATTTCTAATATTTCTAATAAGATTCAAAAAGAGTAATATATATATATATATATATATATATATATAGAGAGAGAGAGAGAGAGAGAGAGGACCTCATGCATGGAGTCCTTGGCAGATTGGGCAGCATTGGATGCCTTGTCCATCATGTTGCTAGCCTTCTCCTTCAATTTGCATTTTTTTTAAAAAATCATTATATAACATTCTATATATTCGTAACCATACGATTAATCAATAATATACACTAACGAAACGTGTATATATATAACATTTTCACCATCTAATACGGATATTGTTATAATTCGTGATAATTTTTTTTTTAAAAAAAAGACTACAAATTATGGAACTGATGTGGCATACGGGATTCTAGGGGTGGACCCCATTTTTTAGGAAATCCGATCTCGGTCTCATCATCACGGGTTTTACGAAAAAATTATCTCATTCTTGGTTTCATGAGATCCGGATACCCCTAACTCAGGTTCAATGAGATTCTCAGTCTCGTACTCAGGAATACCCGGATCTCATAAATAAATAATTCAAATATTTTATAATTTATAAAATTCAATAAAAATAACTTAAACAACATTCAAAACTCGATTTTATAAATTATAAATTCGATTTCATAAATTATAAAGATTGAAAATATAGAAAATAATTAAATAAAATAAAAATATTTTAATAAATAATAAAATATCTTAGATAAATGTTATAAATATAAAGATATTTTTAATTTTTAATTAATATACCGGGTATCCGGGGTATCCGCTATGAGTTAATCGAAACCCGAACCCGGACTCGGGGGTCAAAAACTCGGCCTCGTTAAACCCGGTCTCATCATAGTTAATATTCGGGTACCCTTCCTCCGGGTACTTGTTAAGCCGGATACTCCCAAATCCCCGGATTACGGGTTGAAACGCCCACCCCTACCGGATTCAGTTACCGTTTCACAAATCAAAGAAGGGAACTTACTTTCTCTTGGATCAATGTCTATTGCGTTATATTATAAATCAATGAAAACATATACTTATATCAAACCGGATTAAACCGGTGCAGTGTAACAAACCTGAGTTTGGCCCTTGGCCTGACCGGCTTGGAAGCTCATCTTGTTACTGTTGTCAGCCATTTGTTCCTCTCACTTATCTTTTGATTCTTCGATTAAGACTTTGAGTATATGCGATTCTCTGTTTGCCTTTTGATCCCTTACACAAACAGGAAGCAAAGACCTTATATGCACATTTCATGTCATCCTCTCGTCGCTTGCCACGTGGAGACCTGTGAGTGATTGTTGACACTTGGCACTTTGAGATTTGAAGCTCTCGGGTCAATCGGGAGGCGCGCCGACCGAGTTTCAAGCGAAACCGTTGAGTTACCTTACTCTTTAGAATTTAGAATGAGACTCGTCACCATTTTTTTTTTTTTTGAATATATTCACTTCTTCCATTATTATATATATCATTCTGTAGTATAAAAAAAATATTTATGAATAAAGTTGATATAGAACTTAAAATTAAAATTTGGTTCCTTACATTACCATACCCTTCATCAAGTCTTGGTAGAAGAAACGATTCAAGGCTTATGAGTTTTGGAGTCCATCCCTCATAGAGGACGAAACGAACTTAATTAAAAAAAAAAAGATCAAGATCCCAAACTACAAAAAAAAAACGAGGGCATAAGGTCTTTTGCTCGTTCACCTTCGTCCTAGTTTTTTTCCCCCCCTCTCATTTGATCTCAGAAAGCATAGTAGTAACCGAGAGCTAGAAGGAGGATAACGAAGAGAACAGCAGCAGGAGCAGCATAAACCCAGTAATTAGTAGACTTCTTCTGCTTGCGGATCGCTCTTGGCAGCGTCTCGGGGCCTCGGGTGCGGATCCTGTTCCTTATCGGCTTCTCCTTCGGGGCTTTCTCCTTCTCGGGTTTCTTCTCCTCTTGAACAGAAGCAGCTTCCACTTCGTTCTTCTCCGGCCCAGAATCTTCTGCAACTTCCTCGGCTGCAGCCTCGGCCTCTGGAGCTTTCTTCTTGGCCCTCCTCTCACGCTCCTGTCACCGCAAAATACGAGATGAAAACGTCATTTTCCCGAAGAAATTACTGTAGAGAGAGAGAGAAGGGTTAAAGTAAGTTCCTTTTCTTTCTTCTCAGCTTCCTTCTGAGCTCTTATAGCAGCTTTCGAAGCAGCTTTCTCAGCCAGCTTCTTCTTCCTCTCCATGGCCTGTTTGGCTTTCGCAATCTCCTCCTGCCTTCTCATCTCCTTCAGTGTAGCTTCATCAACTGCCTTTTTCTCTTCCTTCTGCTGTTTTCCCAGTCCATATACCTCATCTTCATCATCGTCATCATCTGCAGTATTCTTTACTTTGCCTGTGTCTTTGGCTTTCTCCCCGGTTTCTTTCTGCGTCTTCTGGGAAACCCTAACTTCTGCCTTCGGGGCGGAACCCGAATCCTCCTTATGCTGTTTCGCCTTAGCTTTAGGCGGAACCTCGGTATCAGAAGGCATTGCCTTTGATGGCGGTGCCTCTGGTGTAACCAGAGGCTTCTCTTCGGGGTTCCTCATCCGCCCATCTCGGCTCAGCTGCCTAGCATCCAACGACGGCAAGATTCTTTTCTCGTAATCGTCTCTGAAGTTCTTCTTACTGCACCAGAGGGACATGAAACTGTCGACCTGACAAAAGACGACGAACACGTAAGGAAGGAAATCTTCGAGACATCAAAAGATAAGCAGTGGGTTTGGCGGAATTGAAGTGCAAAACCTCGGCATGTGAGAGCGCCTCGAGATCTTTTATGTTCTTCTGAGCAGCCAATTCCCGAGCTTTGTTCAAGACAGCTCGGCTTTGGTAAAATTTGGAATTCTGTGACGCAAGTTTGTGAAAATATATCACGATTCAAAAAATCTAACAAAGTTTATACACAAAATGAAGTAGAATGATACAGGATATATATGTATATATATGTACCTCACATAGATTCCAACCAAAGAAATAAAAAAACGAAAACCCGACAAATGAAAAGATTCGTGGAGCTTACCGACTCATCACGTTGTTTCCGGAGGTCTTGAATGTTTGCAAAAGCTTTGTCCCTCTTGTCGGTCACAACCTTCAGCTCATTCTCCAGCAACTGGATCTCATCTTTAATAGCTTTCACCTTCTCACTCAGCTGATTGATCTTGCCTGAGATCGCTTGCCGCTCCTTTTTCACTCCGTCCAAATCAGCACCCATTGACTACGGAACATCGAAAGAATTTACGAGTCAACAAATGGGAAACACCTTATTCTAACCATTTCAGGATCTTTTTGGTTATTAGCCACTCGAAACAAAATCTAAGAGAAACCAAAGTCTTGAGAACATTTTCTATTACCTTAACCTGATCTTGGATATCTTCTTTCTTACCCATAGCCTCCTTGATCTTGGCTCTCATGGCTGCATTCGCAATGACCTTCTCCCTCGTGCCCTCGAGCTGCTTGATCTCTTTGAGAATCTGCTTCTCCTCGTTCAACGAGATGCTTTCATGTTGAATATGGTATTGCAAGCTGTATATCTACGTTTCCCGTCAACAAGCATGTGACGATGAGTATTAAAGAAAGTAAGAAAGCTTTAATTTAAGGGTATTGAAGTAGGAGAGAAGATCATACCGTATCATTCAGCTCTTCCTCGGATGAACAGAGAGCAATGCCACGCCCCCCACCATCGTTGCTCCTCAGCTTTCCCAGTGCCTGCTGCAATGGCTCCATTTCCTTTCTCTTCTCATCGAAAATGGTATTGAATCCTTTACGCTCATTTTTCAATGGCTCCAGTATATCAAATAACTCCGATCTCTCAGCCTGTGCAATGTAACAGCTTTCTCATTTCAAACCCACAATCACAATCTCGGAGCTATGGCTTCATCCGAAGAAAGTAGAGAATCACAAAAAAGCCACCCGAGACAAAGACAATCATCGATCAAGCCGGAAACTTGAAACTCACCCTCTTAGCTTTCAACTCCTCCACAACTCCGGCCCGAGCCCGGTTCAGTTTCTGAAGCTCCTTGTCAGCTTGATCAAGCTTAGCTTTTATCTTCGGGTCCTCGAAAGGGCGATACCTGACAAAGAAGAAACTGTGGACCTGCTTGGCCGCAGGCCATTCTTCGATTATGTCTTTCGGGGTATCAGAGCCGAAAACGTTATTGTTTTCTTCCCCTTTGCTCGGCTCATCATGCGAACCAAACTTGATTGAGACTTTCTCCCCTTTTCCGTGGACCAGCTTCCCGTTCTGCTCGGCCTTACCCTCGAAGGGCGAGGAAGCAACCTCGAATCCATCAGACTTTCCGACCTCAACGCCCATTGTTCGAGTCACAAATCAGATTCACTGAACACAAATCCTGATGCCAAGGACATCCAAACGTGAATGTCCGAACAATCCACCAAAAAAAAACCCAATAACAGAACACAACAAAAGGATCTGCCATCCAGATTCTACAATTAAATTTGCCAAAAACTATGCTAAGATCTAACTCAGAACGCAATCTATCGAGACATTCTCGCAAGAACTTCGATCGAAGAGTTCCATAATTCATCAACGGCACGAAACTTAGAAGCTGCAAAAACGGATCATCCACGGGATTCAACGCATGTTCAGACATATGCTTAATCCAGAAACTGGTTACCAGATTCACAATACACATACACACACACGCGTGTATGTATATGCGCGTAGCGCAGAATTAGCAGCAAACAAAACAGAAAACACCAGCCGAAAGATCACATCTTTGCCGAAAAGAGCGAGATCGAAGCAAACAGAGATCATCTCCCAAAGTCAAATAGCGATAAATCCGAGAGTTTTAATCAGAAAATCCCAAGGCGAGACGAGGAAACCCAACAAAAAGATACGAGCACCCACATACAAGAACAGGAGGAACAAAATACTCTCGCTACCATAACCGATTAACAAGAAACATACACGAATCGGGGCAGAGGAGAAAAAAAAAACATGGGGTTCCCATATATTACCGAGAAAGGGAAAGATGGAGAGGATGGAGATCTGGAAGAAGGAGACAGAAGAAGAAGACCCTCTTGAAGAAAGGGCCTCGATACGTTTCCTCCCGACGATTTTGTCACAAAATGGAAAAACTTTTATTCAGATCTCAATCTAAAACAAATCTTCGATTTCTGAGAAAGCCCACGAACTCCCCTCTCTTCCAATTAATGTGTTTTCCTCAATTTGACTGATGCAGCAGTAAAAAGGGAATTGCCTCAAGTTTCCTTTTAGTTTTACCGCAGATTTCTACGAGAGAAAAACCACAAAGTTTCGTATTTACTGTAACAAACATTTTCCGCATATGTATCTATTTAATCTCTGCGATTAAATACCAAAAAAAAAGATTTATACTTCAATTTATATAAATGACCGAGAAAGCGAAATGAGACATTGCCAATCAAAAAGAAGGTAACTTTAATTAACGAATCAACGCGTCACATTGAAAATAGATTAGAGCGAAATTTGATACATGAGGAGAGGAGGACGAAATGACAAAAATGCCTCCAGGAGAGTGGTGTCGAAAACGTGTACTTTGGATCTCAACACTTGGCGACACGTCGGACTCAGCGATGATCACACAGAGAGATGTATCTGCTACGTAAGCTGCAATTACCTTTTTGCCCTCATTCATTCTCAAACCCACCAACCACAACCAAAAAAGAAAAAAGAAATATATGCAGTGTGAACCCGAAAGAGAGAAAATAAATATCGGTTGTGAATGTGACAAAAAAAAAAATGTGTGATGTCGACCTATTAAATTCTAAAACGTCGACGTTTTGGTTATCTTTACGTGAATTTTACTCCAGGGAAAATTCTAATAAAAAACATGATCAAATATATCGATAGATCGAGAGTTAAACTTCTTATGTACCTTGATTCACATCCTATAAATATAAATATATCGTGGATGTAAGATTTAGGTGTTGAATGGAGAACAGTTTTCGAAATTTTTTGGATTTTAAAAGATGAAAAAACTGATAATTAAATTTTTTAAAATTTGGTTTTTCTAAATATTCGGAAATATATTTTATGATAAAAAAAATCAACTAAAAAATCAAAAATCATAATTTTCTAGATTTATAAAATTATAAAATCCAAAAATCAAAAACTAAAAACTAAAACTAAAAATCCAAAATAAAAATTAAATGTATTATCCGAAAGGTTAACGGGAGTTATCAACCTTCCAAACTATGTCCGCGTGTATTATTCAAACCGACATTTAATAATGGATTATGAGCATCCTATATGGGCTGAGTTTGGGCCCAATTTTCAAAGCTCATATAGGCCCAACTATTTTCCACCGTGAAATTTATTATTTTCTTGTACTTTTTACGTAATTTTTGCTTTATTTTTGTTCTCAATCTAATTATAATTAACACGTACATTATCGATGCACAACGTCCCATTTATATTTTGTCCAAACTTTTGTTTTTCATGAGATAGGGACCATTAATTTAGCTACATCTATCCGCATAGATATGATTTAGGCCCATCCTATCCGTGACTTACTTTATATGTTCATATATAGGGGTGTAAAACGAGACGCGGATCGCGAGCCGACTCGTGAGTCGGCCCATATTTTTCTGAGTTGGGCTTAAAATATTTGAGTCCAGAAAAAACCGGACCAAACGAGTCAATCTATCACGAGCCGGACTGGCTCGCGGACCAAAAAAAATATTTTTTTAATTTTAATATTTTTATATATTTTAAAATATTTTTATATACAAATTATATTTTTTTTATTACATATTTAGTTTGTTTTTGTTCAAAATTTATTTTTTATTATATTTTAAATATTTTTTATATTTTTTAAATATGAAAATTAGTTTTAAATATTTTTAGTATTAAAATTTTATTTTTAAAAATTATATATTTGGCTCGCGGGTCGACTCGTTTGGCTCGAAGGCTAAGACGATATAAATTGGGCTGATATATTTATGACTCGTTAAAAAATGGGTTGGACTAAAAATTTTCCATATCAGAACGAGTCGGGTTGGGTTGGGCCGACTCGTTTTACACCCCTATTCATATGTATGGTTAAACCGGATGGGAGATCCAAAATTTTGAAACAAGATATCAAACCAATTTATACGAATTAGATATCGGATATAATTTACACATTTATAAAATTGTATAAAGATTACGAAGAAAGATGAAACGAATCTTTATAGTCGAAAATGGAATAAATGTTATTGTAAATAATTATAAGTTATGCGTGCCAGAGAACGAAAAAATCGTGGATCGAGAAGAGAGAGGACATAGGCAAGAAGGACGAGGTGGAAACCTCTAACCATATAATGGTCTTTCCTCGACCCTTTGTCTCATCGGTTCACTCCCGCTACCTAAACCCTAAACCCCTCTGATAATGGAAAACCACAGGTGGAATCACCAGCCGAAACCCAACCGCAAGGGTCGGGTTCCCACACCCATCGGACCCAGACCCGGACCCGGACCCATACTCATTCCATCCGTACACAAGCACCTGAATTTCGAATACCCGAGTCGTGCAAATGGTGCGCTAGAACATTCGGATACCCGTGTCTCGTGCTAGAAAATTCGGATACCGTAAACCAAAACAACAACAACACAGAGCTTATGAATGTAACTATGTAACAAATGCTTTTAGGAAGATGATGACGTGTTTGGTCCAACAAGTTTTAAAAGACAGCCGGTGCACAAACTATTCATTCTTAGTCGAGGGCAGAAGAAGGGGATAATCTCAAAGAGAAAGTCAAGGCAGGATCTTCTTCTGTTCTTGTTTTCCGTCTTCAGCATCATCACATGGGAACATCTGGGTCCAACCTTTTCTGGATAGCAGCCGCTGCCTGCATCATTTCTTTCTTTTTCGTTACACGATTTCATCCCGAAATCTCAAAGATTTATCGACCGATAACTAAAAAAAGGGACCAAAACAAATGACCTCGATGTTGCCAATCTTGTACAGATACGCCATTTCTTCTTTCAGCCGAGCTTGGTCCCTCATCGCTTGCGCCTGCCATTACAATATATATATATATATATATACACCCACATGTTGGAGAGATGTTGCTTTGATGTCAATGTATGAATGTGATCAAAATGGAAAAGAAAAAAAAAACTCACCATTCCACCCTCCATTGCTTGCTTTAAAGCTATCACTTCTTCTTCCTTCTGCTTTTCACGTGCTTGCTGCAGCTCTAACCTGAAAATTTTTTCACGGATAATATGTTATAATCCAAATGGTTCCACCATGGTAATGAATATATGCTGCAAGTATCCTATATATATATATATTGATATATACCGGCGCTGTTCCTCGTCATTGAACACGACACGCTCAGTCTGAACCACCTTCTTGAAACCCTTCTTCATCTCCTTCTCAAGCTTACGCCTTTCATAAGCATCAATGTTATAATATCTGCAGGAACAAGAAAGAACACTCGGGTATTTAGGGATACACAAAATAAAATTAAAAAAAAAAAAAGAGCACAGAGCTAAATCTTGTCTCTTTGAGCAACTAACACGACCAGTAGCTATGAAACTGAACAAAGAAGCTCACTTTTTGGAGGGAAACGTAGCAGTGTTGTGATCCTCCATAAATCTGCGATAGAAGAATAGATTGTGACAACTGTTACACAAAGAGATCCCCCGGCACTACGTATCATTCAGGAGACAGAACTTAAACATAGATTATGATACATACTCTTTGAACATTTTCTTCTCCTCCCAAGGGGGAAGGCTTTCCAAGTTTACCTGTATATACACAAGCAGAAGCAGTCAATTACATCATCTTCCAAGTGCCCGTAAACAGCAGTGAACTAAGAATACAAAAAGTTGGCTTTTTTCTGATTGGGAAAACCCCGAGTTTCTACCACGAGGTAAGACATTCCAATACGAAACTTGCCTGTCTTATTTCAGCTAACCATGCGGTGAACTCTGGTCGTTTGTTCCTGTAAACAACGAAAACAAGTGAGTTCTTGAGAGAAACCAGGCTAGATGTTCAGAAGAAGAAATCACCAAACTACTAGCATTGCCTCCGATATTATCCACTGGATCTCATGTATTTTCGAGCAGAAAACAAGCATAACCGCAGGATGAAGTGGCGACCAACAATATTTCCGATCTTAATCTCCACGAAAAGCTCGGAAAGTCTATGAATCAATCACCAGATTAACACATTGCCGTTGATTGATATTTAAGAGTATTCCTCCAAGCACAAACAGTGTTCTTGAATAAGAAGCTTCTTTTCGGAATTCTCCTCTTCTTCAGTATGTTTTCACAAACACACACTCACTCTAACTTTTCCAAACTCTCTTCAAAAGGGAAGCGATAATGATAGAAATCAACAGGCAAAAGCCAGAATCCAACATCGATACAGACACAGAGATATTGCGATGAAGCACTTTCCATGAAGATTACGAAAGGAGGGAAATTTCCAATGAAACTAAGGAAAAGTCAGAGTCTTTACCACATATCAGTTTCTCTGATGATTCCATACTTTCCCCAGGAATTAGTGACAGCTCCTTTCTTCCCTTTCTCCAACTTCTTCTTCTTCTTCCTCTCCTTCTTCTTCCTCCTCTCTCTCTCATCCTCCTTCTCTCTCTCATCCTCCTTCTCTCTCCTCCTCGACCTCTTCTCCTTCTCTCTCTTCTTTCTCTTCCTTTCCCTCTCCTCCCTTTCCCTCCTCTTCCTCTTCCTCCTCCTCCGCTCCTCCTCACTCTCGCTCTCCTCGGAATCCGAATAATCCGACTCCGAATCCGTACCCGACCCGCTACTCGAATAGTCGTCGCTGTCGTCCCGGTCGCGCCTTCTCCGAGCTCTCCCGTCCGATTTCCTCTTCCCTCTCGCCTTTCTACTCCTACGTCGCTCTTCTTCTTCCGACCCAGATTCAGTATCATTCTCCAAACCGGAGGCAGAGCCAGATTCATCGTCGTCTCTACTTCTCCTCCTCCTACCTTCCCGACGCTTTACCTCTTCCCTTCCGGATCCCTTGCCTCCGCCGCCACCGCCGCCAGAACTTTCCGGAGATGATTTTCTTCTGCGCTCTCTGTCATCCGCCGCATATTTCCTTTTCTCCGGCGGAGAACCATCCTTGTCTCTTCCCATTTCGCTGAACCACCGGCGACCGAACTAGAATAAGCCCTACTGCGTAGGAGTGAATGTCCGACTTTCGTAGAAAATTACGATGAAAGAGAAGCAAAGGCCGACAAAGTGAACAAATAGCCGGCCTGTTCATTTATGTTGGGCCTAGGCCCATTTTAGGATCCAAAGCCCAAAACAATCTATGTCATTTTGTCCCACATCGCCAAATTTCGATACGATCAGAAAAACCTCCTCTGTATTTAAAGTGCCCATATTCCCATCACATAAGTCACGGAGCCGTGCGGTGAGCACATAGCGAACTATTCTTTCGCCTTTTACTAAAGAATACCGTGTGCTCGTCGCATCAAGCGGCATACGCCTATTTTTGGAGGGGTCGCTCTATGAGCTACCCCAACCAATCCATAAGCTAAGTTTAACTTCCGGCATTCGAGAATTTCTTGAAAGGTTTATAAATTTCGTTTATTGAAATGTCGTTTATTTATATAATCTGATATAGCCATAAGAGTGCCTTGATCTTAAGTTTATTTGAGTCGACCATATTTTAATCTTTTTACTTTATTTTGTTTTGTGAATTAAATCTCTTGAATACGTAAGTCATTACTAATCAACACGTCCATCTTTTTCTGTCTTCTACTTTTGTTTTTTCTTTACTTTTTTCCCTCTTCTATTTCAATGGGAATAAGACCTTAGGATCTCAAAAAGACCTTTCGTTTTGTTTTCATTTCATCCATTCCACCGAATAAATATCTTCGTAGCAATTCTCGTTAATCTGAAAGATTTAGTCTTTAGATATTTGAAATGCCATAACTTCGCAGTTTTTAAATCTTGCAAGTAAAAATATAAATGAATGATTATTCAATCTTTCCTATCTTTTAATTAGGTTTATTGTTTGATTCTGTAACATGAATATCGATGAAACAGAGAGGGCTTCATCAGAAAATCAAGAAACCCTACGGTTAATCGGATTTGATTCTTTCCACGGTGTAATGCATAATTTCCTAAACAATATGTTTACAAAAAATAACAGTGTAACTCCAATAAGTTTGAAAATGACATGTCGGAATGTTTATTTGAAGTTTCACAATATTCTTTTCACAAACTATAATTTGTAATTTATTTTCTATTTTTCTCCTTTTACTAAAAATAATACGGTCTGTCCGTCGTAAGTTGAAATTTTGAATACGACTTATTGATTTAATTTATTAAATTAATTGGTTAAGAATGAGTCAACTCTAATCAAGTCCAACAGAATTGATTCAAATTATATGGGGGTGTCACAAGTTGAAAGGAATATTTTATCAGGGCATATATTTTTCGAATATAAAATATAATATTGGGGGGGTTTTAGTCCCACATCGGAAGATATGACGGAGGGTGGCAGATGAGGTAGATAATAAAAGGCGCTCGGGTGAGAGTTCAAAGGTATCTTTGCGCTTGGGGCAATGACGCAGCTAATGAGGTAAAAACCGAGGCGCGTCAATTGCTGGTTGAAAACTATTTCCAAACCCCCTCTTGGGCCTGGGCTTGACCCTGGCCCTCGAGAATTTCTGGAAGGGCTCCCTTCGGGGTAAAGCCCTACAATCCCAATGTTCTAAAGTTTCCTTATGGTGATCTGGGTCCTTGTTTGATACCCCGGTTCCTTTTCTTGAATATTTCTCATTTGGGCTTTTTTTTTTCTTTTTCTTTTTTAATTTCGAGTTATATAGTTCGACTGATTTCACATCCGTGTTCATCGGATCAAGGAACATTGTCACGCGATACAGATTTTCTGTTGAATTCGCGCTGTCAAACTCCTAGATGTATTTGGACTCATCGGCAGAAGGAGCATTAGCTTTGCTTTGCTGGTGAATCCGGATAGAACTTTTGCTCCGGTTTTAATTCAGATTAGTTTCGTCTAGTTTATTAGATCCGGTTTAATGAAATTTTCTAGTTCCATTTTTCAATTCTATCCAGTTGCAAACGAAATTGAAAAAAAAACATCTATTAATTGAAATGGTTTATTAAATACAAATGCATATACCCTGCAAACTAGATTAAACCGACTTAAACCGGATATACGGCACCGGTTATGCTTGTTGCGGAGCTGCTGTCGTCTTCATCGCCCTTGAGTGAGCTCCATGGCTGGTCTCTAAGCTTTCTTGGCCCGCGATGCATCGATCGAAACTCCATGCTTGATCTCAATCGGCCAATTACCAATCAAAAGCGAATATCTAGACCGATCGATCTCCATCGAGACGGTTACATGGAAGGGGAATCCGAATGCCGGTGAAGGAGATGAACAGACGGGGAAGAACTTCTATGTTGACGCATTCTTCGAACGAGATCGGCCATCACATGGACCATCTCTCCGGCGAACTCGAGCATTGACCGTCGGATAAATCGCGCATACAGTCCCAAAATAGCCACTACTATCCCCATCTCTGCCACCATTCTTCTCTCTTGTTCGATTGGCTTAGTATCTTTTTGAATTAAAAAAAAAATAAAAAAGATATCATGTGAATTCATTTTGTGGCGTGCTTTGAATTCACTTGGGGGCTTCCAACCACCGAAACGTGCTTCACCCAACGGTCAAGGAAATCAAGGAAACAGACCCTCTGGTCCAGGGAGAGAATCTGTAATGGGCCGTGAACTGGGCCCATATTCAATTTTTTTAGCAATGATTTAGTTAAATAAGTTTAAGGAAATTTTAAATTGATTTACGTATATGTATGTGTGTGTGTGTGTGTATATATGTCTATGAACATCTATTAAATGAAACAATGGCGAAATCATTGTATTATATACACATGTATATGGTGTTAAATAAACCCAACGCTTAATAGTAATAATAAAACATGTGGATCGACGTGTAAAACTTGCAATTAATGTTATTAGATATAAAATAAATACGATTAGATCAATAATTTTTTTTTTTAAAGGAAAGAGTATGTGTCCGGATATGAGAGGCGCTTTAACTTTTGTATCCAATTCAGAGTTCGATTTATATATGCGCGTCACATTACGACTATAATTATAATGAAATTAGATTTGATCATCTACAAGTTTCTTTTATGTTTTTTAATCAATTAAATTAGGTGAATCTGAAATGAATAGAAAAATAACTAAAAATTGAATAACAAGAGATGGCTCTAGTTTCATACTAATCTTCGATCTTCGAGATTCCCTAAGGTAAGGCAGATGTACGCGTTGTCAAAAAGACAAAAATATTATTTGCATCGCAACAAAGTCAAGATGTTTCTATTCTTTAATATCAACATATATATACACATACCTAACATACCTAACAGATCGTAGACGAGCGATCAAGTTTGGGGTAAGAGATAACTTCACCTTGAGGTTGAGTGTTCGATTCCTGGCTAGTGGAGAGGGAGATAATTTCTGGGTTTATATCATCCATGTACAAAGATTGCTTCCAGGCCGTAGGTTTACCTAGTCAGCACATCCGAATGGTAGCAGCTAGGGGTCATCCGTTATAAAAAAAACATATATATATATAGGCGTGTATATATGTTCGCATGTGTAGTGTATATATATATATATAGTATATGTGTGTGTATATGTAGTAATGAGATCCGACTGAAATGTGGGTTTTCTGATAAATATTATATAGATACAATATTATATATATATATATATATATATATATATAATGTACATGCATATTGCACATCGCAGTATTATAAAACAGAATCCGAAAGTCTAATCTTCCTATACCAGAATTGGAAAAAGCTTGAATAAAATTATAAAGAACCTATTCTTACACATCCCTTATATATAATGTACATGCATATTGCCTATTTTGTTTTTCATATGTCCTTTACGTGTTCCATAAAAAAAAATATGAAATTATATGTACGAATGTATCTTTCAAGTTATCTACATATATTTTTTAAAGGATAACAAAGATGGGGTCGAACTCGTGTGGAAAAGTTATCTATATAATTTTTAAATATAAATATAATTTTTTTTTATATTCTTATAATTATAAGTCCACATTTCGAGAATTTGTAATGCAATCTATTGTACAATATGTGGTTTCAATTTAAATAGTTTTATTTAGAAAAATGGATAGATAGACTCATAGACGTATGGCATGCCATCACATCACATCATCATCTATTTGAACAAGAAATCTCCACGTTAACTAGAGTCTGAAAATGGGAAGTGGATGAGGACGAAATCCAAGTATCATATAAAAGGCTTTTGACCTGTCCTTGGCGGTGGTGGTCCATTGCTTTTGTCACCTTCTACGTAATTTATACAATTTCTTATGTGAAAAAACTCACAATTTTTCAAATTACAAAATTCACAATAATATATGTATATATATAGACATATATAAGGAGTATATTAACTTTATGGCGAGCATTGGAAATAAATAAATTCGAACTCCTCTCTCTCTAACGTATCCCAACAAGATCATGTAAGTTTTTAATAGTCAAATAAATTATTTTCATTAAAAAAAAAAATCTCCATTAGAATTTCTGCCTAACTCTCCCTTACACGTGTCAAAATATTTCTGCCGTATATTTTTTTCATATATTTTATTTAGTTCGTTTTATATTTGCATTCAAGTTGTAATTTTAGTATTATGTTATTATATTTTTCACATCATTCATGTTTTTTTTAACCTTTAGTTGGATTTATTTTAATGACTGTAATATATGTCACTGTTAGTGTCAAGCTTTTTTTAGTGTTTCTAGAATATGGACATTTGGCATGCCACGTGTCCTTCGTCTCCAAATTCCAGATTTCTTGACGGTTCATTCATTCATTTCATGCACCCAAAAACGAATATGGAAACTACGATTGCTCAACTCTTCTTCTTACACCAAAACCAAATGTCTTTGGGGACGTCAAAGTAAATCTCAAAATTATCGCATGCTTACATCCATCTACGGTCCATGTTGCGCGCACATGAAAATATTAGCGGGTCCGTCACTCCAACTCTACACGTGGCAGCATGCTAATGGTTAAAATGGGTCCCACCAAAAATGGTAAGACAAGGACGACCGTACTTATTTTCACGGCCTATATAAGAAAAGGCAAGCAGCGTCTCATCCACATTTTGCGGAAGAGAAACACTTTCTGTACACGTTTGAATAGTTTCCATAACAGTTCCTCTTCATCGTCTTCGTTTGCTGTTGTTGCAAGCCTAGCTCGTTGATTTCCGTCCGAGAAAATGGGGGTTCGAGAGAAGGACTCTTTATCCCAGTTGAATTTGCCTCCGGGTTTCAGGTTCTATCCGACAGATGAAGAGCTTCTGGTTCAGTATCTCTGCCGGAAAGTTGCAGGTCATCACTTCTCTCTCCAAGTCATCGGAGAAATCGACCTTTACAAGTTCGATCCTTGGGATTTACCAAGTAAGACCTCAACCCAATCCCGAAATCTTCACAAAGTTTCCATCTTTCTCAAAAACAGGAACGAAAAAGATAGCTAATTTGAAGTTTCAAAGACCGGAGGGGTGTTTTGGCACGTAATAAAACTATGGGATTAAAACTGAGAGAATATCATAAGTTGATTGGTCAATGTTTTTGGTGCAGGCAAGGCCTTGTTTGGGGAAAAGGAGTGGTATTTCTTCAGCCCAAGAGACAGGAAATACCCGAACGGGTCGAGACCCAACAGAGTAGCCGGGTCGGGTTACTGGAAGGCGACGGGTACGGACAAGATCATCACGGCGGATGGTCGCCGCGTCGGCATCAAGAAATCTCTCGTCTTTTACGCCGGGAAAGCTCCCAAAGGCACCAAAACCAACTGGATCATGCACGAGTATCGTCTCATCGAACCTTTTCGTACCACCACCCGTAGCTCCAAGGTCAATTATCACTTACAGCAAGCGTAATCGTACCCGATTGTGTTCAAATTCAATCGAATTCACTCTGTTTTCGTTTGGTTTCTGTAGTTGGATGAGTGGGTTTTGTGCCGGATTTACAAGAAAACCACGGCGGCTCAGAAACCGGGTCCGGGTCGAACTCGCCATGACGAACTCAGCACGAACGGGTCGTCGTCTTCGTCGTGTTCATCTTCCCAACTCGGCGACGTTCTCGACTCGTTCCCGGAGATGAAGGAACAATTCTTCAACCTCCCCCGGATGAACTCGCTCAGATCGCTTTTCAACGACGACAAGATCGTAAATCTCGATTGGGCAACCTTGGCGGCTCTAAATCCCGTACCGGAACTCGCTCCGAGTTACGGCGGCAATAACTCGTCATTTGCGGCGGTGGAGGAGGAGGCGGAGAGTGGGTTGACTCAGGGCTCCGGGTACAATTGGATCGGGTACGGGTTCAACCCGGTCGAGCCTGTCGGGTACGGGTTTTCGGGTCAGGCCGGTGAATTTGGGTTAAGGCGGTGACGACGATGATGAGGATGAGAGGGGCAATTGATGTAAATAATACGAATTATTTTAGCTATTCTACAACAGTTTTGGTTTAGCATTCCTGGATGGAGCCCACAATGTCGAACAGATTACACGTGGCTCTTTCCGACCGTGTTTAGTAAAATGAAAAACGAACCATGTTATTATTGTCGCGGTAAATCATTTCAATTTCATTCTAACCATAACAGAAACGACATATCATTTATGTATAATATTCGTAGACGTGTATGTGTAACCGCAATCGAAAGACTGCATGTCGTTATTAGCCCGATAAAACAGCATGCAGTTAATTACTCGTTCTTCTTCAACAAGGCAAACACTTGTGCCGTCGTATCTTCCTCGTTTCTTCCGCAGGAGAGTACAGTAGTCTGAGATCACTAAGTTCCGATCTCGCTCCCTGTCACTGTACGTATCGATGTGTTTATCGATGGCGGACCACCGTATCGGTGTGTGTATCGGTCTGCGACCACCGTATGGTTCGGATATATCGGCGACGGAGATGGCGAACTACTTGGCCAAGTTCCGAACGATCAAGACCACCTCCTTCGATCTCCTCGTAATCGCAGGTAATCGGTTCTTCTCTGGGGACATTAGTTGAATTCAGCTCGTTGTTTAGATACACTATCATCGTTTCACCTGTCAGGATATGCAATTCAGAATCCTCCTTTTTTTCTGGTCAGATTCTATACGATTAGGGTTGATGCTTGGCATTGGTTTCTCTCTGCAATCATGGGTGGATGGCAAGCCAAAACCCTATGAAATCTGGGTTGAGTTTTAACCGATCCGGTGGAAGAGTTACTTGCAGAGAGGGAAAAGGGTTAGAAACTTCACGCTCTCGTTCAGTTTATCAGCAAAGATTTAAGTATATTAAATTCTGATGATATTTGTTTTGTGGGCTCTAATAACAGGCTCTGATTCATGATCTGGTTTCCTTCCCTCTGCTCTGTTCATGAACATTGTTTGTATAGTATAATATCAGAAATATTAATTACGTTGATACAAATCACAATACATCAGTTCTACACAGCAGTAGATGATACAATACAACATTCTTCACTTAATTATTCTAGAAGCTCAGCTGAAGCTTGAAGCTTTAACTCTTTCATTATTTAATATATATTACCAAAGTTGCAGGATCGTATTCATTTCCTGACATTCATTTCTTGCAGACAATGCCGTTCCCGGAGAACCCACGGGTGCAATCCAATGTCCCGTACTCGGTCTCGGACTTGATGACGCCACCGGAAGCCGGTGTTCCGGAGAAAATGCAAGTCTTGCAGTCCTTAGAGAGAAGTGATGAGGTCCTGAAGCTGTCTTCGCCTCCCACGACGGGCATTGCGACTCCAGGCTTAGCCGGGTTCTTGAAATTCGGTCTGTATGTACGTCCCAAGACACCATCCACATCCGGCGAGAGGTTGAAGAACCTGAACTGAACCTCCAGATGGGCAAAGCAGTCGTCTTCAGGTACCTTGTAGCTGTGGATCCTGTCGTCTTCCTTGGTAACCGGAACCACGTTCACCATGATCTCGGCCTTGTCCTTGATCGTCACAATCACACTGTTCCTCTTCGCCACTCTCTCCAACTTTATGTCCTTGTCGGGTGAGTACCTGCTCGAGCATGCGTACAGTTCAAAAATCAAGAAAAACAAAAGAGAGGAAAAAGGTCGAAGCTTTAACCACATGAGTTCGAGATCGTTTACCAGGTGGAGAGGGTTTCTTCCTGGACAGCCAAATCTTGGCCGTCGAAGGAGAACTTGAGATGGTCGAGGTCATTGTCCCAGGTGGCGGTTTTCGTGGCTTCGAGGGAGAACTTGTGTGAGTTGAAGAGGATTCCGAGGGCTTGGATCCAGGTAAAGTCTCTGGCTCTTCCAGCAGGTCTGTGTCCGATGAACCTGGCATTGATCTGAAGGTCAGAGTCCGAGACGAGACTGAAATGCTCGTTGCTCTTGCCGTGGAAGTAGAACACGACTTGGTCGCCACCAATGAACCTCGGGTCATAGCAAGCGGATCCAGGACTGTTGCAGTTTGGCTTCCTCACTAAGCAAGATCATCCAAAACAGCACAAAACTCATTGATCTATAAATCTGCAACAAGAAGGAAAAAAACATGTATGGAATTTATGGATTATTGATGGGGAATCTTACTGCGGCAGTGGGATTTGCAGACAGGGGAATCGCAGTTGACGTAGCAGACTTTGTTCTTGGAGTTCATGTCGGTAGTGCTTGGGCATTCCTCCGGGCACTCTACGTACCTTTGGTAGCATCTGCTGTACGGATTGTTGCAGTAAACTCCGGCTGCCTTGGCCTGCAAGAAACATGACGCAACCGCCAAAAACATCAGAAGCAGAGAGGTTTTTGGGTTTGCCATTGTGGGTTTGTCTTCGATCTTTCAGTATCAGAGGAAAATAGGAAATAGGGAAGAAGAAGAAGAAGAAGAAGAAGAAGAGCTGATGGTGAGTGAGGAGGGTAGGGATTGTGAGTTTCAATTTATAGGGTTTAAAAGTCAAATGTTTTCTTAAGAAGGGGACTATTTTGTGAATTTGAGAAGTAAAGTCATTGACTTTACCAGCTGGCTCTGTCTTTGTGTGACGAACTTCGCGGTGAATCTATCAAAACACATGGGCTTTGCCTTCACCTTTTGGATTCAATGTCATTATAACCATCGAATATTTTTCGTGTTTAAGCACCTTCCAAAATCTCATCGCGTTTAAAATCAGATCGAAAATTTTACTACAATATTTTATATGGTTTTCTTAAAACTGTAATTCCGCAATTTTCAATATATATATATATATATATATATATATATATATATATTATACAGGATTATGTCTATAGATCGTCTTTTGTCTCTTTTCGTTTATGTACATATAAATCCGATCTAGAGAAACGAATCAATTTTGAGGTAGTCCCTCCCTCAGAAGACATGTTCAAAATTGTTGATTTGAATCATACGGGACTTAACTCATTAACCGATATTATTTACGACATAGAAATGCATGTATGTAAACCTATATTTGTTGATCAATAAATTGGTCGGCACGCCAATTTAGTTTAAATAATAATTATTTGCTTGATGAATAAACAAAGAAATGTTTGTAATAAGTTAATAACAAAAGGGGAAAAAACTGAACAGGTTTTGACATTTTAAGTCAATTAATTGGGAATGTTATTGATTTAAAAATGTGTTGGCATTAATTTTAATTTAAATGAATGAAATTGGAATAAAATTAGAATCAAACATAAAAATATATAGAAATGGCTTGGAAATATATATTTTGTTTAACATAAGTATTTATTAAATGAAAACTGAATTAAAAAATTCAGTCTAATTAAAAATAGATACAAACGGAATGATTATAGTATTTTACAGGAATCAAAAATAAAATCTAAAGACGAAATGTAAACCTATAGAGTTCTTTAACAAACAAAAAAAACCATAGAGTTAATTTTGTAAACAAAAGAGAAAAAGGAGAAACGATTTATAACTATGAATCTTAACAATAAAAGAATGTTTATATACTCTTTGTGAATGACTTGAGACGATTTATAAGCAACAACGGCTTTAGCAGTTGAGATAAAATTAATCGAAATGCAATGGATATTGGAGCCACCATAAAAGACTGAACCATAGAACCGTAATTACAAACTAGCAAATAAATTTATTTTTTTAGATTTTTTCACACTTTAAAAAAAAATTTAAAAAAAAAGCCATATATAACCTTATTAAACCATATTCTCATTATTAACTATAAAATTAAATATTTTTAATTAAAGATAAAACTATAAATGTTTTTAAAAAATCACCTATAAAATCTAAAACGATATCCATTAATTTAATATACAAAAGAAATATTCTCTTACACTGATCACAAATGGAGAGAGTAATTAATAAGCGGTTAATATAATGTGTAGATAGGAATTGTGGCTGCGAGAAAATTATAGATACTAATAAAAAAGAGAAAAAAAATGCGGTGAGCGTGGATCGAACACGCGACCTTCAGATCTTCAGTCTGACGCTCTCCCAACTGAGCTATCCCCGCTTGGTTCTTGTGAATTAATTTTTTGGAATATACTAATAGGACAAAAAATCCGCGATTTTGTCTTTTTCGTTGATTGACGAGGTGAAGCTACTTGTATTTTCATAGAAAAAAAAAAAGAAAAAAAAAGAGAATCACTCAGATTTGAATGATTTTGGAGTTGGTATTTCCTCGTACGGATGACTGTGTGCTCATGTCGGAAAACTTCTTGGTCGGCTTCATCTCTCTTTGACACTCTGCCGTTTCGTTTGATGGCATGTGGTCTATCATTCATGACCACATTCCGTACCAACTTCCGTCTACTGTTTTTTATTTTGTTGGGGTTCTTCCAAAACATGATCCTATTTAGATTCTCTGAGAAACCTCGGGAAAGTCCAAGAAAGTGAATGAAGAATCAGATCAACAGATTGAAGTTGGAGAAACATTCTCTGCGTTTCCATTTGCCATTTTTTGAAAATAGTTTTGAAATAGCTGAAGAGAGAGAGAGAGAGAGAGAGAATCAAATTCGGAGCAAATTTGTTGTGTATCATTCAAGTGGAAAAGCACCAGAGTTTTGAATACAAAAGCCCAAAACGGAAAACACAACGTTTGTAATATTTTAAATTAAATCAGGTCAAAAACTAATTAAACCGGAATAAACCAATATATTCTAATTGGAAATAACCAAATAAACCGAGAAAAATGTCTTCTAAAACAGTTCGCAAGTGAATCTGTTTGTACAAATTCCGTTGCCAAGAAATACCGTCTAAACGCGACAATCCTTTTCACGAACATTGGAAAGGAGACGAGTCCGAGTTGTGTCGGCTTGTCTCTGGTCCGTAGCCGCGGCCATGAATGGGGTGACCGACATTAATTACTCAGACAGATCGTCGATAGGAGATCTAACAAACATGAAGATTTTCTTAAACGTTTTTGGTCAACCCTGTTCATTTAAAACCGTCATAATGACAACGTGGATCTTTGATTCGTAAAAAAGTCAAAACTATTATTATTTTTTTCTTGTGTGACATTAACATTTTGTCTGGTTGGGTCAAAATCTTGTTTATGCACGTCTGCGAAAACACGGCCGTCCTATGGGGTTCATTGGTACATGAAAACCATGACCGACGTACCGAGCTTTGGGCCGACACAACCATCACACATGGAGAAATTTGATGTCCTTTCATCATTTTTATTCTCATATATATATATATATTTATATATATATATATATATGGTTTGTGTGTATAGTGGATGGTGCAAATTAGAGATGAGAATTCCGTATTTCCTTTCATTTATTTATTTTTAGTTTTAAATTTTTATTGGATTTTGAATATTTCAAATTCTATTACATTCTATTTTTATTATAAAATATTTGTATTATCAATTTAATAGTCGATTTGAATTCATTTGTAACGTTAATAAGTCTAATCAACTTTGATTTAGTTTACTATTATTTCATCCCCATTGTCAAATCTTACACAGATACACTATCTAATGTTCGGCAAATTCAAGAATAGACATCAATCTAACATGCCACGTGTCACTTAGAGATCTCCCCTTCACTAGTGTGTAAGCCCTCTGGTCCCACTTGTGATTTTGTGAAAGCACACTTCTGCGATGATCCAACGGTCCAGATTCCTTCATCATCCTCTATATATTACACTACACACCTCCCCTTTTACTGATAAGAACCACCGAAAACGAGACCGAAGCAAATGAAATGGCAATTCACCTTCCTTGCTCTTCTTTTAAAGCAGCAGCTGTGGTCACCGGAATTTCAGCCGTTGCTGCGACGGCGGTGAATTTCTACGCTCCCGTCATCTCTCACTTCATGACGTTCTACTTTCCGGTCATCCAGGAGAACGTTGTCTTGTTCCTCAGGCCTCCGTATCTCTACTTAGTCATCAATTGCATCATCGTCTCCATCGTTGCTTCAGCCAGACTCTACAAAAATCCGAATCTCAGCGGAGATTCTCACTCTCCGGCAGCGGATGCGGTGGCGCCGATCCCAATTCTGGCGCCGTCTGATCTTTCTGCTTATTTAAGCGCGGGTTATGTCGTCGGTTATAATGGATCTGAGGAGAATAACGTGCGACGTGATGCGTCGGTTGATCGGACTGTGGAGATTTCCAAAAGGTTTCCGGAGGTGATCGATGAGAAGATGGTGATTGACGGCGGCGATGATCGGCGGGAGATGGAGAAACTAAAACCGAGTAGTGATTCGACCGAGGATTTTACGCCGAAGGCGGAGAAACCTCCAGCATCTGCGAGATTCGGCCAGGGGAAAGCAACTAAAGCTAGTTCTGAAGGTCATTTCTCTCTCTCTCTCTCTCTCTCTCTCTCTCTCTCTCTCTCTCTCTCTCTCTCTCTCTCTGCCTCCCTGTGTGTTCATGAAAAAGCTTGGAATACACAAATTTGAATTTGAATTTCAAATGACGTTCCCGCCGGCAATTCAAATTACGAACGACGGTGAGAGAAACGATGGTAAAATCAAGGACGAGAAAGGGGCAAAATGGTAATTGCAGTAAGCACTGTAACCGTTTTTGACTTGTTCTCCGCAGGCGGAAACAAAGCGTTAGGAGTATCGAAGCCGAGGAGGCAGGAGACGCTGGAAACGACGTGGAGGAAGATAACGGAAGGCCGTGCGATGCCGATGACGAGGCACCTGAAGAAGTCGGACACGTGGGAGAAGGAGAGCTCGAGCGCGCGAGGCTCGGGGCACGACGAGAGGACGACCAAATCGGAGAGCTTAGACGACCGGAGCGCCGCCGCGGGGAAGCGTCGGAAGGAATCTCAGGGGAGGCTGATGAGAGAGGCGTCGCCGGGGCAGGAGGAGCTGAACAGGAGAGTGGAGGCGTTCATCAAGAAGTTCAACGAGGAGATGAGGCTGCAAAGGCAGGAATCTCTGGCCAGGTATCAAGAAATGGTAAACAGAGGGCCTCCTCCGTAGTTTTTTTGAAAATTTCGGGCACTTTTTTGTTGATCTTTTTCATCTTACAAAACGTTGTTGCGTCTTAATCTTCATCTTAAATTAATTAATTAGTTTTCCCCGCAGATATGAAACTGACCGATTTTATCGGATAGTTTAGTGGATTTATTGGGTTGAAATGAAACCCCCATTCGATCTCACATTGAGTTAAAAAAACAAACTTTTACAAACTTTCGTATAAACATACTTTAATTTATCTAAATTATATCACATAGATACCTCAATTGCTAAATTGTTAAATAAATACATGATCAATCGAAGTATTTACGTCAATTACGAATCCATATTCTAAAGATTGGATATTCATACACTGTGGCACAAATTCGAATCCAATGACACGAATTACTCGATATTTGGATTTAAATTAATTTGAATTATAGACAGATAAATTATATGGACATCGTCTCCCCCCCCCCTTTTTTTTTTTTTTTTTGCCTAGCATTCGTCACATCTGATAAACCCAAAATTCGGATTGGAACGAAAACGCTATATATATATTTATAAAAAGGGGATATCGCCATAAAAACCCGGTACTTTTCCCAGGTCAACGAAAAAACTCTATACTTTTTTTCTTACCAATTAAACCCTATACTTGGTATGATTAACCAATAAAATCTCAAACTTGTTAATAATTCACCAAAAACCCCTCCGACTGCCAACTCAAACAAAAATGATGATGTTACAATAACTTGGTTTTCAAGTTATGTACACATCATCAAAATTATGACACATCATCGTTACAAACAAAAATAAATTACATAATTTATTTAAATTAATTTATATACATATAAATTCACATATATATATATATTAAATATAAAATTACTTATAACTAATAATATATATATATATATATATTATAAATTACATTAAAAATAATATATATATACATATTATTTGTTAATATATATTGTATATATATTATTTTTTAATATATAGTGTATATATTAGTTATAATTACTTTTCTTTTAATATGCATATTAGTTGTATATATATAT